GGTCAGGCGTACCCAACCTCCGTAGGCTAGAATCCGCGACCTGTTGGTTAGAAATCCAACGATTGAGCCCCGAATTGCGTACAATAAAGGACATCTGGATGCATACTTTATATGAGATATGATTGAAATGATGATGATGATGATGATGATGATGATGATGATGATGATGATGATGATCGATGATGATGATGATGATGATGATGATGATGATGATGATGATGATGATGATGCTGAGGATGATGATGGTGAGGATGATGATGATGATGGTGGTGTTGATTATATTTATGATGACGATAATGATGATGATGATGATGATGATGATGATGATGATGATGATGATGATGGTTAATGATGATGATGATGATGATGATGATGATGATGATGATGATGATGATGATCGATGATGATGATGATGATGATGATGATGATGATGATGATGATGATGATGATGCTGAGGATGATGATGGTGAGGATGATGATGATGATGGTGGTGTTGATTATATTTATGATAATACTGAGGTTGATGATGATGATGATGATGATGATGATGATGATGATGCTGAATTTTGGGAAATCGACGGCGTACAGCATGCGTAGTCGTTTTTTACGGGGTGTGCTTGAAGTCGGCCAGAAGGAAGCTCGTTCGAAATCTGCCATGACTGAGATGTCTTTGGGATTCTGCTGCATGATAATTAATATAACAACTCTACTTAAGGTAATCAGTCATCTTCGAACTTGGGCTAACATTTGATGCAAAAACACATCTACCATATTCCACTTATTTGGGAAAATAAAAGTACGTAGTCATGTTAATTTAAAAAACAAACCTGCAGTTCTTCCAGGCGTTTTCGTTTGTCCCGAGAACACTTCTCAGGCACGTCGGCCGACGGATCCCTGAATATCGCTTGCTCCAAGTCGCTCAGCCAGACATTTAGGTCTTCACTGCTTTGAGATATGTTCAGCCACACCATACGTATCTGAGACAAGCTGTCCACAGCCCGTGCTACCAGCATCTCTAGCGCCGCCTGTTCTGCCCGGTAGGTCTCCGTTTCGCGCATCACCAGGGCTGGCAGTTCGACCGCCAAGGTTGCAGCGGCGTCACCCTGTGGGTCTGTAGTAGGGTGCCGATAAAGGGCCAAGAGGTGGTCCGCGGAAACCACTGTCAGTTCGAGGAAATGCCTACTGTCTGCCCTGAGGTCATCGTATAGGCCACGTAGCAGGCTTAAGCGACGATCCGCCTCAGCCAGAGAGATTAAGGAAGGCAGGAAGAAGCAACCCATTTCTTCCTCCCTCTGGATCATCCTTCCCACCAGTTCGTTTGCACTTCCAGCTAGCTTCACTGTGGTCGGTCCACAAGCCTGACAGTAGCGTTCAAATGCCATGCTCTGACGTAGACAAACAAGCTCACTGGTCTCGCGATAGGC